TTATTTCGAAGAGTGTTCGGCTCTTATTTCGAAGCGTGTTCGGCTTTTATTTCGAAGCGTGTTCGGCTTTTATTTCGAAGCGTGTTCGGCTCTTATTTCGAAGAGTGTTCGGCTCTTATTTTGAAGAGTGTTCGGCTCTTATTTTGAAGCGTGTTCTGCGCCGGAAGCGGAAGTGCCGCCCGCGTGTGTCTTTCATTGATTGCGGGAGCGAGTTAGCTGGAGTCGAGTGTGATATTAATAATTATTAAAGTCGTCAGAGCTGATCATGATTAAAGAGAACTGCTGGAATATCCCCGTGAACGCTCCGGCGTGTATGGAGAGACACCTGGACGCGGTGGATTACAGAGCAGGTCAGAACAAAGCATCAGCTCAATCTGAGCTACTTTAGACACGTGCGCGTTAAACGCTTGATAGAATGATGCATGAACACAAAAAACTGATAACGTCTAATAATAAAATAAACACTTTAAAATGTATTTTTGCAAAAAAGACACTTCGTGAAAAGCCAAAATGTCACAATGTACCAATGCACGAAAAAAACACAATGCTTTTGTCTGTATAGTGTCTCGCCTTAAATATAAGAACATTTTGACTTACTTATTTTTAATTACTTTTATTATTGCTAAACCAACGCTGATTATTTTATGTTAAAACTACATCTTTTCTTATAATAATGAGATGTCATGATGTTAAAATTACATATTTTCTCATTAAAGGGGTCATGTGATGCTGCTAAAAAGAGCATTATTTGGTGTATTTGGTGAAATGAAATGTGTTTATGTGATTTAAGGTTATTATATATGATATTCTGCACAGCAGGGAAGAACTGCAGAATATAATGTCTTACAGATATTTTTAATATTATTAAAACATTGTGTCCATCAATGGTGGCAATCAGCAGGCTAATTTCTAAAGAAGAGACCAATTTATATGACAGATTTTAATGTAGGCTTTTATACACATGTAAACATTATTTAATAACCATTATAGCTATCTCACAAATGTTTGCTCACTCAGTGTTTTTTTAATTTTACAGCTGGGTGATTGTGTTGCAGTAGCACGAGATAGCTTGATTTCAAACTTTGAATTGAATAAAAAATGACAAGTAAGCAGTCAGTAATAAAATAAAAACAAATAAAAAATAACGACAGGCCTTCGAATGAAATAAAACACTTTTTAGTGTTTCAGGTAGGTCTAACAGTAGGGTTAAGATATTTATCCATTATATATCCAGATATTATCCAAATAATGTTTAATCCTAGAAAGCTATTATTATCAGAGCACGCAAGCATAACATAAAATATACATTGAAATATAACACTATAATAATATACTGCCCCAAATCAAATAAAATAAACATCTTCAAGTAAACAAACTAAGGCTTCGTCTGTGCTCTTAACATTTAAAATCAGAGGCAACCGCTGCGTTTTAATCACGATCCAAACAAAGATGCGTCATGCATGCAACACCAGCAGTTTTTAATCTAAATTAGATTGTATCATTTCGAAATTTGTGAAACTATAAATAAAAATATCTGCATGAAAGCTGAGCTGAACGAGACGCAGATGCACGCTCTGCCAGCAGGTGGCGCTTTAAGCCTTTCATTGGTTTCCGCTGTAAACAAAGCAGCGCTGCGCTTACGAACTTTAATATGCTTTATACAGAGGCAAGAGGAAACGAAAAAAATACCAAAGACCGTAAGTTCCCCTCAGACATGCATTCATATAAACTCCTACATCTAAATGAATCGCGATTGGTTTAGCGTCTCTTGAATCGTCACATATTTAAATCGATTTCCAACCGGCTCGCGGTTAATCGTTACATCCCCAGGACTCAGTCCTCCATAAAATGCGCTGCACACATCTGAATATTTGGGTTGAAGTGTTCTGGAACAGTGTTGTAAATACATTTGGGCGGCGTTATGCAATGTGTTTTAACATCTTCCGTAGAAATGCACCGTTTCTGAACATGTACCAAGGTCTTATCATCATTTCTGGACATTTACCATGTTTTTTTTTTTACATTTGGTCACCAATAATTATTGTGCTTCTCTGGAGATCTACCATAGTAATATTGTGCTTCTTGACATGCACTGTATTAATAATTTTACTGACATCTACCATGGTTTTTGTAGGGTTTAGGACATATACTGGGGTTACAATAATATTATTTATGCTTTTTTGGAAATTTACCGTGGTATTAGCTTTTGAGCATCTACCAGGCTTATCATCATAGTTTTTGGACTTGTACCATGGTAATACCATGTTTTTAATGGATATTTAACAATAATGTTGTTGTTTTAGCTGTTTTTTGGACATTTACCATGGTATTATTAACGTTTTGGACATATACTGGCGTTTGATCGTAGTTTTTGGACTTGTACCATGGTAATACTGTGGTTTTTGTGGATGTTCAACAATAATATTGTGTTATTTTAGATTTTTTGGATATTTACCATGGCATTAGTAGGTTTTTGTACGTGTAATAGTTTATTTTCGTTTTTTTGGACATTGACCCTTTTATTACTAGGTTTCTGTGGTTTTCTATCATGGTTCTGAGCATACCCTGTTGAAAAACCAGGTATGTATTGATGCTGGTTTAAGCTGGTCCTTTGCTGGTTTATGCTGAGTTAAACTGGTCCTTAGATGATCATGTGCTGGTCGTACCAGTTTAGGACCAGCACATGACCATCTTAAACCAGCATGGACCAGCATAAATCAGCTCGGACCAGCATAAACCAGCTCGGACCAGCATCCCAGCTTCAAAACATACCTAACATACCTGGTTTTTCTACAGGGTATGCTCAAAACCATGATAGAAACTCTAAAACCTAGTAATACCACGGTATCCCTGTTGAAAAAAACAGCATATGCTGGTTAGGTATGTTTTGAAGCTGGGATGCTGGTTTTGAAGCTGGGATGCTGGTCCGAGCTGGTTTATGCTGGTTTGAGTTGGTTTATGCTGGTCCGTGCTGGTTTATGCTGGTTTGAGCTGGTTTGAGCTGGTTTAAGCTGGTCATGTGCTGGTCCTAAACTGGTCCGACCAGCACATGACCATCTAAGGATCAGTTTAACCCAGCATAAACCAGCATAAGCCAGCATCCCAGCTTCAAAACATACCTAACCAGCATATGCTGTTTTTTTTCAACGGGGATACCGTGGTATTACTAGGTTTTCGAGTTTCTGTCCTGGTTTTGATCACGTGGTGTTCTCTGATAGATATATACATGTGTTGTTGTCAGGTTCGGTGGAGCTGTGGGAGCTGGCGGAGGACGAGCGGCTGCTGATGAACCGCTTCACTCGTCTGGAGCATGATGACGTGGTGACGGGTGTGAGTGTGAGCGCCGGCGGGCGTCTCGCCGTCAGCTGTAGTGTGGACTGCAGGTCAGCAGGCGGTGCTGTGAGACTGTGAGAGGCTCAACATGATCTCAGGGCACTCAATCTCTCTCTCCGTCTCCTTTCAGGATCAAAGTGTGGGATCTGAACCAGGAGACCGTCACCAGCTCCTATCACGGTGAGCAGACAGGAAGTGATGTCACTGCAGATTAATAACCCACAGGCTCATTGATGATCAGATTTATAGATGCAGTGTAATTATATATATTTATGAGACGCCATGCACTCTTTATCTCTGTGTTGATATGATTCTTGGCCGTGAATCAAATGAAGTGGTTCATCTGGATCAGGTGGGTTTGATTCATGAACTCATGATTGAAGAATTGATTTGAATTCTTCTGAAGAAACTGAATGAAAAACATTTCCGTAAAAACAGACGATGAAAGACTGATGAGCTCAGCTTTACTAAGAAATAATCACTTGCATTTGAAAGTAATGGGTCAGTAGATTCTTAGATCAATAGTTCATATGCATATGTGATTATATATATATAAAAAAAAAAAAAAAAATATATATATATATAGTAATTTAGTTATTTAAACACTATATATTAGTTATTAATTATTGCATATAAGTATGTTTCATATGTATTTTTATTTTAATAATGAATACATTGTTTATTCATATAGAATAGAATTTGACTAATTATTGAATATTAACTTGTGATTTATTTAAACTGTATATATTATTTATTATATGTAAATATAGATTCTTATTTTCAGATATTTTAAGAGTGAGTAATGTCCAAATGTGATTTATTTGAAATATATTATTTATTAATAAAATATGTAAATCTATATTGTTGAGTTGTTAAAAATGTGTGTGTGTGTGTGTGTGTGTGTGTCTATGTGTGTGTCAGCTCACTCTCAGCCGGTCAGCGGTGTGTCGTGTTCTCCTGTCGACGAGTCTCTCTTCCTGTCATGTGCTCAGGTCAGTGCCGTCTCTCTCACACACATATACACACACACACGTGTGTTTGAGTGTGTAACCATCTCACGCTCTCCTGCAGGACGGACGGCTTCTGCTGTGGGACCGACGGAAACCCAAACCTGCCTCTCGCCTAGGTGCACACACACACACACGCACACTCACACACACACAAGCACGCACACACATGCGCACAAAGCACACACTCATGCGCACGCACACACACACACACACACGCACGCTCACACACACACAAGCCCTCACTCATTCACTCACTCTCACGCACACAAACACACACAAGCACTCCCTCATTCACTCACACGCACACACACTCACTCATACACTCACTCACACGCACACACACTCACTCATACACTCACTCACACGCACACACACTCACTCATACACTCACTCACACGCACACAAACACACACAAGCACTCACTCATTCACTCACACACGCGCACACACACACACACACACAAGCACTCACACACACACAAGCACTCACTCATTCACTCACTCTCACGCACACAAACACACACAAGCACTCCCTCATTCACTCACACGCACACACACTCACTCATACACTCACTCACACGCACACACACTCACTCATACACTCACTCACACGCACACACACTCACTCATACACTCACTCACACGCACACACACTCACTCATACACTCACTCACACGCACACACACTCACTCATACACTCACTCACACGCACACACACTCACTCATACACTCACTCACACGCACACACACTCACTCATACACTCACTCACACGCACACACACTCACTCATACACTCACTCACACGCACACACACTCACTCATACACTCACTCACACGCACACAAACACACACAAGCACTCACTCATTCACTCACACAAACACACACACAACACTCACACACACAAGCACGCACACTCACTCACACACACACACGCACACACATACACACACAAGTACGCACTCTCACTCACACACACACACACGCACTCTCACACACCAAGTACTCACTCATGTGCACACACACACACACACACACACAAGCACTCACTCATTCACTCACACACACACAAGCAGTCACTCACACGCACACACACACAAAAGCACTCACTCATTCATTCACTCACACACGCACACAAACACACACACACTCACTCATTCACTCACTTACACACACTCGCACACACACAAGCACTCACTCATTCACTCACACACACACAAGCAGTCACTCACACGCACACACACACAAAAGCACTCACTCACTCACTCACTCACACACGCACACAAACACACACACACTCACTCATTCACTCACTTACACACACTCGCACACACACAAGCACTCACTCATTCACTCACTCACACACACACACACACTCGCACACACAAGCACTCATTCACTCACTCACACACATGCGCGCACACACACACACATGCGCGCGCGCACACACACAAGCACTCACTCGCTCACTCATGCACACAAGCACTCACTCACTCACACACACACACGCACACACATACACACACAAGTACTCACTCATGTGCACACACACACACACACACACACAAGCACTCACTCATTCACTCACACACACACAAGCACTCATTCACTCACTCACACACATGCGCGCACACACACACACATGCGCGCGCGCACACACTCAAGCACTCACTCGCTCACTCATGCACACAAGCACTCACTCACTCGCACAAACACACACACAAGCACTCACTCACTCGCACACAAACACACACACACACAAGCACTTACTCACACACACACAAGCACTTACTCACACACGCACACAAACACACACACAAGCACACACACACCACAGTATCATTAACTTTGGTGCTTTCAGTCTGTCTGGCTGATTCTAAAGTGAGATCCAGCTGAGCACTCAGTCACTTCCTGTCCGGAGAGACCTAACTTCCTGTCCATCTCGTTTAGACGTGGTGTCTCCCAGCTGCAGCCCCACGGCCGTCGCCTGGCACCCTCATCAGAGCAGCACCATCGCATACGGTACGGCTTCATTTCCCACGATGCACTGCTCTGTCCCATGATGCTCTGCTGGTGTTGACGTGTGTGTCTGGTGTTAGGTGATGAACTGGGTCGAGTGACTCTGAGGGATCTGCAGACGTCGGACGGTGTACGGACGATAAACGCTCACAGCCGCCGCGTCTCCAGACTGACGTTCTCCTCCGACAGGTACGGAAGAAAACACTGCGATAGTTATAAGAAGAGTGAATCAGCCTGTGAAGTTTTCCAGATTGTAAAGTACGCCAGACTTATTGTAAAGTACTCCGGATCGTAAAGTATGCCATCTTATAAAGTAGGCCATATTGTAAAATAAGCTGTATTGTAAAGTACTCCGTGAGCCGGATAATGACTGGTGATTATTATGGGCTGTCACCTGCAGTTCACCCCTGCTGGCGTCTATCAGTGACGACTGCTCCGTTGCCGTGGTTACTGCAGAGCTCCGAGAAATGTGAGTATTGACACATGCCTCTCTCCTCATTGGCTGTCCTGCACCAGCCAATCAGAACACAGGAAATCCACACACCCCGAAGTACATGGAACTGACAATCATTAAACAGTTTTTGCGGCTTAAATATTTTAACACGTATATCTAATTTAACTACAAACAATTCAATAATAAACACACACATATTAAATATAATATTTAATAAGAACTGAATTCATTTTGATTGAATGTATTGATAAAATGTTTAATTGGAAACTATACGTATTTTATGGACAAAAGATGAAATATACATGTTGTTAATTTATATTTATAATACTTAAATCTTATATCAAATTGAATAAAATTGAAAGAGTTGTAGAAGAAATATTTGAAATTATTTGTGCAATATTTTACACACACACACACACACATATGTGTATATATATATATGTGTGTGTGTGTGTATTTATAGTTAATAAATTGATTCAATGTATTAAAATATTTCATTAGAAATTAAGATTTATATTGTTTAAAAATATTACATGTATTAATAGCCTGTGAAGTTTTCCAGATTGTAAAGTACGCCAGACTTATTGTAAAGTACTCCGGACTGTAAAGTACACCAGATTGTATGTAGAGTATGCCGCATTGCAAAGTACGCCAGACTTATTGCAAAGTACTCCGGATTGTAACGTACGCCACATTTTAAAATATGCCAGACTTATTGTAAAGTACTCCGGATCGTAAAGTATGCCATCTTATAAAGTAGGCCATATTGTAAAATAAGCTGTATTGTAAAGTACTCCGTGAGCCGGATAATGACTGGTGATTATTATGGGCTGTCACCTGCAGTTCACCCCTGCTGGCGTCTATCAGTGACGACTGCTCCGTTGCCGTGGTTACTGCAGAGCTCCGAGAAATGTGAGTATTGACACATGCCTCTCTCCTCATTGGCTGTCCTGCACCAGCCAATCAGAACACAGGAAATCCACACACCCCGAAGTACATGGAACTGACAATCATTAAACAGTTTTTGCGGCTTAAATATTTTAACACGTATATCTAATTTAACTACAAACAATTCAATAATAAACACACACATATTAAATATAATATTTAATAAGAACTGAATTCATTTTGATTGAATGTATTGATAAAATGTTTAATTGGAAACTATATGTATTTTATGGACAAAAGATGAAATATACATGTTGTTAATTTATATTTATAATACTTAAATCTTATATCAAATTGAATAAAATTGAAAGAGTTGTAGAAGAAATATTTGAAATTATTTGTGCAATATTTTACACACACACACACACACATATGTGTATATATATATATGTGTGTGTGTGTGTATTTATAGTTAATAAATTGATTCAATGTATTAAAATATTTCATTAGAAATTAAGATTTATATTGTTTAAAAATATTACATGTATTAATACATTTATATAAAACATTTATACATGTATTATATAAATGTGCCTACAGTGTAATGAAATAATAATTAAAATAAAAAAATCTAAAATAATAAGTTATTAAAAACAAAAATTGTAAAAAAAAAAAAAGTGTTATGTATGCATATAAAATATGTAGTCAAATGATTACAAAATATGAGTTGTGTATTTTTTTTATCTATAAACTTTTTTTATTGTTTAAACACGGTTACAAAATGATTTAAAGCACCTTAACATTAACATTTAATTGGAGTGTATTTATATCTCAGAGCGGCGATCTGAGTCTGTCGTGTGCTCCGTGTTTAGTTTCAGGGACCGGCGGCACCAGGATTTCGTGCGCGGCGTGTGTTGGGCCCCGGGCGGCTCGGCCGTGTTGACCACCGTGGGCTGGGACCATCAGGTGCTCCACCACAGCGTGTCTGCGCCCTAGAGCATCATGGGAAACCACACCAACCTCCAGTTCATTCCCATTTCTGTTGTTCCGTCACCATCAAATAACGATTCATGAGTTAAATACATAATCATAGTAGGATCAGAATTCAGAACATGCAGAAAATGTCTTTTTTAATAACAGAAATGGGCATGAATGCTGTTCTCTTCTCATATTTGTGCAAAAAAAACACGTTTCACTGTTTAATAAAATTTCTGTCATCTGTATATTTATGCTCTCGCATATTTTTATCACACCGTATTATGGGTATATTCTTTCTTTAGGGGGGTAACAAAGGGTTAAATATCCAAAACAACAATTGTCATACTAACACGTTTGCAGATTATTAAATTAGCTTGTTTCTTCAAAGGCACCTTTAACCAGTATATTCAAGCAAAAACAAAGTTTGCATTATTTCTTCTTTGATTCTTGCTTAAGATTAAAATAATAACTATGAAAAGCAGCAAAGGCATTTTTCTTAGTTAAAACGAACCATCGGTAATATGTTCAAGGCTTCGCGACCATCTATAACAGTGTTTATTCTCAAATTCGAAGGTTTATTGTATACTTTTAAGTTCGTAAAAATTCATCATGTTTTGACCTGGAAAAAAATCCAGCACCACTGAAAGAAGCTCTCGTAGCGAGAGCTATAGATTAATATTGTACATTAATGATTAAAAACATTCTAAAATATTATGCAGAAGTTACAATTAATTTATAACCTGATTAGAAACTGGATTAAACAATTGAATTAAATTAAAAGGTTTGACATTAAAATGAGTTTCCGTGTAGATTATCTAGCCATACACGGGCACAGTTGCTCCACTGATAAATTTGAGCAGCTCTAGAAAGTCCTGATGAAGCTGCGGTCATAAGAGTTCGGCAAAACCTGAATATACTGACAGCTGAAGAAACATCCAGGTAGAAAGTTAATAGAGTAATACTTTAGCAACAGCGTGATAAAGCTCCAGACCGGGTGCAAAACGTTAAATGTCTGTCAGGTAGGTGCATATGTACAGGTAAGGCACGTCTTTGGAATAATTCCAGTCAGGAACGCTCTCTGGATCAGGACGAACCGTCTTTGATAACGGGTGTTATTGGTTGTTTGGCTCCTGGTCTCACGGTGAACGTCATTCCAAACTGCTGTTTGGCTGATGATCCGTTACTGAAAGATAAAGAAGAGTCTCATTATTCGTAAGTAAACGCTTTAAATACCAAGTTATAAAAGCATAAAGTACTAGAACCTCAAATAACTGCATTTTGATTCCACTTTAACCAGTAATTCCTCAATATTACGTATTGCATGTTGTGTTTAAGCTTCTAAATATATCAACTTAAGCAGTTTCATATGCATTGTAAATCATAAATGTCATGGAAACAGCTGTTGAGTGTTGTTTCAGTCTATTTATCTTCCTGATGATTCATCTCAGCTATGTGCTATGAGGGAAGCATTGCCTGTGATCACAGTCATGCGTAATTGTGTGCATTATTCCAAAGAAAAAAACGTTACGTAATCTTTCTGTACATAATCTGACGTCATCAAGTCTCTTATGGAATCTTGTTTCCACCTCAAAGTAAAAACGAAATAAAAAGGTAGTTGCCACTTTATTTCTTGTAATTGCATCTTAATGTCTCCCAATTGTAACTTTATACAATGTGGATCTTTTCCTTTCCCCGTTGATAAAGCCCTGCCTGACATTTTTCCTCGATTAATGTCACGTTTCACTTGAAAAATGCACATTACAGAAGTAAAACGGATTGTGAATGCCATTTCATGTTGACTTTAACCATGTGTTTACTTTAAGTTTACCTGTTCTGGGATTTAGCCGAAGTGGACAAATTTTGAGCTTTTTTGGCCGCTTTGCTTTCCAGCTCCTTCATGTCCACTCCACGAGTTTGCGTCGGCAGGATGGCACTCCGATTTGTCATAGGATTGTATGTGGTAAGGGGCGACGTGGCCTCGTCATCAGACAGTGGAGAGTTCCAGTCATCTCCGTTGGTCTCCACCTCTTTGACAGCCGAGAACTTGGGGTCCATCTCTAGCATCTTCTTCTGCAGGATACTGAGAAGTGTCGCCTGGCTAGCGGAGACGGATGGAGCCACTTGTGAAGGGGGTTGAGTGGATTTCATTTGAACAGGTGGTTTGGATTGGAGCTGGATATTTGGGGGAGGTCCTGGGGCCTTGGGAGGACAGCTGGGTGGTTTATGTTTGGGCGAAGTGAGGGGCCCATTGGTGACAGGAGGAGGGGTCGGAGGTTGGGAGGGTTTGGCAGGTGGACCATTTATGATTGGAGTAGGTAAGGATTTAGAAGGTGGAGGGGCAGGTTTTACAGGGGTAGCAGGAGCGGGGTGACTTGGAGGGGGGCAGCTGATAATAGGAGCAGGTAAGAAGGTTTTAGCAGGTGGAGGGGCACTTTTCACAGGGGGAGCAGGAGCGGGGTGACTTGGTGGGGGAACTGGAGGTTCCTCCTCAGTGTCCGAGTTGGCAAATTCAGGAGGCGGTGGAATGAAGACCAAGTCTTCTCCAACTTCCACATCTCTAACAGGGACACCCAGTCCACTAACAGAGCTATTCATGGGGCTTCGTAGAGGGGTTGAGCTTAGCTCTGGCTTTGAGTAGGACATATCTGGAAGGTTAACTTTGGTTGATGGTGAGGTGATTGGTTGTGTGTTTGTGGTCGACTTTAATTGTGCATTGGGACTGTCTGGTGTTGGGTTTCGAGAAATGACGGTGAAGGAGTTTGGTTTTTCTTCACTAGGTTGGATCACAGAACTGACTGGCTCTGTTGAGTTACTGTTCTTTTGGGACAGAGCAGTTCTCTGCTTTTCTCTTTCCTTTGCAGCCATCAGCAAGGCCAAAGGTGAAGTTGTGGTCTCTTTCTTTACTGAGCCGTCTGCGCCCCGTGTGTTGAGACGTCGGTGGTTCAAGATAGGGCTGTACTTGCGAGGCCTGCCAGGGGACGCAACTGGGGTCACCACCTGCCTAACATCAGGTATACTTTTCTCTATTTTGGGCGAGACTTTAATTGGTGCTGGTACCTCAGTGGGGATGTTTTGTGCCAGTACAGGCTCAGGATTTATTTTGGGCTCTACCTTGGCTGGTTCACTTGGAACTTGTGCCATGTCTGTCTGGTCATCCTGTTGATGAGTGGCGGAGCTGTTCCGACGGGCTGGTTTGGTTGGTGGCACCCCTGGTTGGAAAGATCCAGGATTTTTCCCACTGTTCCCATCGACAACACCAACCGTGTTTCCAGCAGTATCTTCCAGCAGCAGAATGGACTGGACTTTTTTTTCCCCTTCTGTCTGTCCGCCAAGTAGTGTGCTCTTCTGCACGCTGTAGAGTTTGGCTGTGTTCTGGGGGTTGAAGCTAGATGGTGTTGGGTTGGAAGCAACGGGTGGCACAGGGGTTTGGGACAGGATGTCCAGATTAGGTATGGAGGACATTCGGACCGGTTTTGGAGGTGCTGTTTTCTGAGCTTTTGCAAGAACAGGTGATCCTTTCACCGGGGGTGGTGGTGGGGTGAACTTGGGGCATTCTGGGATATCTTGAACACCAAGGCTAGAGAGAGAACCTCTGAAGCTGTAAGTTTCCGATGGTGGTTTTGGAGGACGCATTGGAGGAGGTTTGAGGGAGGTCAAGTCTAAATCTGCACTGTAATCGGAACTGGTAAGTGATGGAGGCTTTGGGGGCGTCTTTGGAGGGGGATGCAGACTTGTACGGTCTAAAGAAGGGTCCATTTCGCCAGAGAACTGTGGTGAGGGAGGGATGAATGATGGAGGCGGCAGGGCTGAAAAAGGAGGAGGAGGTGGAGGGGCGGAGCCAGGCGGAGGCGGTATAAGTATTTCCCCCTGGAGGAGGTCAGGGACGGAAAGCATCCTTCCATTTGGTAGGTTTGTGGTGCTTCCTACAATAAGACAACATGAAAATCAACTACAGGTTCATTAAAACACCTCAGCATGTTGAAAACATTATTTACTGGCTCCCATATTTATTTAGTGTTCCTTGATCAAAGACAAGAAGTTAACTATTCCCAGCCAGTTCTGTGTTGTGAACTCACCTGTACCATTTATCTTGGGCTTGTTGAATGGCGGAAGAACTGGTACCTTGGGTGTTGGAACTGCAAAGCCTTGCACACTCTCAGATGACTAGGATTTAAAGAGAAGCATTTGACAGCAATCAGCGACTGTTAGAAGGTAAGGGAGTCTACAGCAAAAACACACCTTGTATTGTAGAAGCCACTGAGTCACAGTTTGAATTTCTAGGCACTAAACCAACCAGTTTCCCTGAACTATTCAGAGAGCTTATGACGTTCAAGGATATGGATCCTTTCTCTTGACTCTCGACTCGTCTTTATTTCTCTGAGACATGCTTAAACTGTTGAGAAACTGCAGGACCCATCCCGATTTCATACTCACACGTGGGATGAATAGGGTGAGATAATGTTCCAGATGTGTGTCTGTGAATCAGGTTTTTGGACACTCCTCACCAACACCCCATAATGTGAATGATTGTTATGAGACATTATGGGAATTTTCCAGGAGTATTCATGTTGCTAAAACAAATGCACCGAATGTCATTTCTTTACAAAACAGAGCATAGCCTTTGTCTGATAAGAGTCATATTCAGAAATAGTTTTGATAGTCTTTCCTTATACACAACTTAAGTTGGATTTAGCTTGTCTTTCATTCTTGTCTTTTCAGTTCTCCGACATGCAAAAGGGGACACACTCCTTAAACATGTGTTTGTGTTTCAGGTTTTGCTGAAGGTCTTTTATGGGATCATCTCTCCAGAAAAAAACACAACCTGACCAAACCTTCAGGTGTGGATCTCCTCCGAAGGAAAAAAGACTCTACAGGGGGATTCTTAATCTCTAAAGTGGGATTGGGAAACGTCCTCAAGCCGGGATTCGAACTCGGGACGCCCATAACGCAATGGCGCTATATGTCGGCACACTTGCTGACTAGTAACATAATGAAAGTTGTGTTTTATGATTAGTGGTGCAGTTTACATTTTACAGTCTACATTTACACGTTTGATAGATGCTTTTATCCAAAACGACTTGCATGAGAATGGGAGTGGTGTTTGCTCATGCAAAAGTACCTGCTGTGGTTGCTTAGTGGTCAAAAGAACCCATGTAGAGTTTGTTTTTCACTTGTTTGATTGTCCAGAAGGTGAAAATCAAGCATCTA